ATGTTTGGATCTCCATCTTCCTTATATGGCATAATTTAAAAGTAAAACTTATGTCATTAGCTAATTTATAAAAAGAATTTTCTGTAAACACCTAAATCACCTCATTCAAATGTGGGACAAAGAAATATGACACATCAAAAGTTATCTTAGGTAGCTATGCCATTTGACAGCTAAATGCTATCAAATATGTGCAATACTTTGTAACACATGGCACGTGTCATAGCACTCAGTGCATATGTACATGTTGCGGCTCATCCCTATGTTTTTTTTTACCCCTTACTGATTTTCAACTAATTTGAAACATTTTTTCTCTCTTAAGATATCTCATGCTTTTGTAATATAATTTTACTCTAATTTGAGATTTATTGACTAATGTTTAGGTGATTTAAAATTCATGAAAACTTAAGATCTCATTTTTACAAATTACGAACTTGATAATCTAAATGGCTTAGCCTAGGGTTGCTTTGGATTTTCAAAGTTCAATGAGATTAAGAAGCACGATATGACATTGCCAATTGGTTTAATTGACCTATTAATTTTATTCCATTGCATTTATATACATGATCTTTTTTAATTTCCAAATCCATATGGAAAAGAATTCAAAGTTAAATGGTAGAGGAGATATTATGTATCATCATTTTCTTATCCCCCACCCCAACCTTAGCTAATTAATTTCCATTTCCAAAAGAGATATTATCATTACTTATTAAATGAAAGAGATTGTAAATTTTCTCTCTTATAATCCTAGATTGAGGGATCTCATCATTTACTTTTTTTAATCACTTTATATAAAGAATTTCCTTTACATACCCATCATAAATTCATATGCAAAATATCTGATTCTTATGAAAAGAACATTGACTAAAGAACGTCTTAAAGTTAAATGATATCATTTCCCATATCAACCAAGTAGTCAACATGCTTGATCAAAACTCATTGATGGACAACAATTTTCAATAATCCAATTAAAATGATCTGATTAATATACAGTCCTATTTAGGATCCAGAGACAGGCTTAATCAATCAATTTTAATCATACCAATACAGTGGCTTCTAGGAAGAATGAGTTACTTACATAATTTGACCTCGAGTGTATATAGTGTTATATTTCAATTTTCAAAACTCTAAAAAGGCAAAAAACAAAAATAAAAAACAAAAAAACACATCTCGAAGAAGTGAACAACATTGAAACATTATCGCAAGTTTTTAAATTACAAATAAAAGTACTATAAAAGACACATGTAGAAAAATAACCCACATTTCTTCATATAGCTAAAGATAAAACAAGTAAATTGATTCTTTTTTTAGCTAATGGCTAATTAAAACAAAAAATACATACAAGATAGCTAGCTAGATCACAATCAAACGAGGGAAAGTTTCCAATAAGCTAGTTGATAAATTTAATACGTAATTCTCTAAAGAAGAATAATGATACAGAAAATGTGATGATTATAAGAGAGCATTTTTTTTACAATTGTCATAGTAATTAATAGGCGTAAAATAAAATTTTTCTACCGACATAAGTTGAGTGAAACTAATCTCTTTTAACATGACAAAATAAAGTTTGAATTCTCACTATAAGATATGCAGTATCACTGGGAATAGCTCTCATTAAAACATTTTCTCCATTTACCACCCGAACATGAACTTGAAATTTTATACTTAAATAGCCATAGTCTATTCCACTGCAACCGTATTGGTTAAATTTAAATATTCTAGAAGCAGAGCTTTTAATTGTATTAGAAAGTTTTTGTCATTAACATTTTTATCTTTATATATATTCAAAATCTATGACCATAAAAAAGAAGATTGGAACTCATAATATAATCCAGCTGTATCTCCTTGTAGTCAGTGTGAGCATCAGTTTTTTACTTTCTTCGGTTTTACTATCAAACACTCGCACAAGCTGGTTTCGATATAAAAACGCTCTTTCCTTCTAAGAAAAGACTTAATGAGGAATCTTGTAAGATCAGAAAGGAGAGGAAGAACACAACTTAATTAGAGACTCCAAAAACCCATCTTCTTCTTTTTCTCCTTCACTGATCACAATCTCTTCACCAGTTTATTTTCGTTTTGTTCTTTTACATATATATAACCCAATATTGCAGGTAAGTGTATTTTAATTTTAATAATTAAGCTTCTTGCCTTCTTTTCTCTATCTGCAGATTTTTTTTTTTTCGGTGATCGTAATTCAGAAATAGTTTTCTTTTTTTCCTGAGTTTTCCGGAGAACCAAACAGACACAGCATATAGGGTTTGTAATCTAAATCTATTGGATTCACATTCATAATTTCTTTAAAATTTCATGAGGTTGGGAAAAAAAGAACAATTAACTATGATGTCAATAAATAGTTCATCCCATTTTTGTGTAATAATATATATTGATATTGATTTGGAAATCTTTTGCAGAAAATTAAAGGAAAAAACAATGGAAGAGAATATTATTGCGAGGAGAAGCATGAGAAGGAGCACAAGCAGGTCGGGTCGGACAACAGAAGAAGTGGTGAACTGCGGCCAGTGCTCTCGCCGGACCTCTAACTCCGACGAAGACGAGGAGGCTCTGAGATGGGCGGCGATAGAGAAGCTGCCAACCTATGATCGGCTAAGAACAAGCATTTTGCAGAATTTCATGGAACAAGGCCAGCCTCGTGGATCAAAGCAAGTCGATGTTCGAAAGCTGAATATGAACGAGAGACAAGACATCATTGACAGGATTTTCAAGGTTGCCGAGGAAGATAACGACAAGTTCTTGAGAAAGTTCAGAGCCAGAATTGATCGGTGAGTATAAGACAAACTTACCTTTTCGAGCCGTACGTGGTTTTCTCAGAAAACTTCAAAATTACCAGCTGAAAGCCGGAAAAAGAGTCTCTATACTCAGATTGGTAATAAGAAAATGGGATTTAATTAATAAAGGTTAGTCCAATTCATAAATATTTAACCTATAATTTACAAGTTATCAGTTTATGTCTTGCCTATAACTTATAATTTACAAGTTATCAGTTTATGTCCTGCCTATAACTAATAACTAAATAGGCTTGAGCTTGTATAAAAAATTAAAGGTCTGAGCCTGACTTAAAATTTTTATAAAGCTTTTTTCACAGTTTAGACTTGAGCCTATCTAAAGCCTGACCTAACCTGAAAATTTATTTAAAAGGCTATCTAAAAAGTAAGCTTTTTAAATATGTTTGTATTTTAGTTTTAAACCTCTCAAATATACTTTAAGACTATTATAATATATAATATATAACTTAATTTATCAATTACAATATATAATAATTGAAATGAGTTATAAACTACAATACGATATAACAATAAAGTAACAATATTAAAATTAATATACAAGTCTAATATGATTAAAAATATAGCTAAAAATTAAAAAAAAAGAATAGATTGATTCAAAATCAAATGGTGAAACTAATGTAATTGTGATATATTATGTAATATATATATATATATATATATATGTCGGTTTGTTGGGCTCGCAGGCTAAACCTTGAAAAATAGACTTAGCCTATTTAATTAAATATGCTTAATTAAAAGCATAAGTTTAATCTAAGTCTATTTAGTAAGTAAGTTAGACTAGGCCTGAAGTAGGTTAGGCTGTAGGCTTCTATCAAGGCCTGACCTATTCCCACCTCTATTAAAGGTAACTAGTTTTTTGAACCTAAAAACATGTCTTAGCCAATGAGTCCTTAGATAATTCATCTAAATCTTTTGTTTGACCAAAAAAATCAAATTTACTAGTAATCATACATAAGTTAATAAAATATTTTATTACCTAATTTATAATATTAATATTTTATAATTTAATGGACACATTATTATGATCATAAAATATTTTATTACCTAATTTATAATATTAATATTTTATAATTTAATGGACACATTATTATGATTATAAAATATCTTATGTAATTATAAGATAAAATATGTTTCTATATTTAATAATTGTCAGATCGTAATTAAGATATATACACATATATGAAATGGTAGTCTTGGTTTTTTTTTTTTTAAACGATGAGGAACCACCATGGGGAATTAATCCCTCTTAACCAGAGTTCTTAAATTTGAGTTCCGGATCGATGACATAGAATTCCATGGCAAAAGGAAAAAAAAAAAAAAAAAAGTGCTACGATGATGACGAGCTTAAAGCTTATTGTTATATGTAAGTATCTTTGGTTTCTGATTGTTTTCCTGTTCCATGGACCATGGTGCTGATGCTATATCTTACGGTCGAAGGTGCTTTTCCCTTTTGGACACGAATCCTCTCTAATGAAACGATCCATGCGGTGCCGAAATTTTATACAAGAAAATAAGGGTTCTGTTATTAAAAAATAAAAAATAAAATAAGGGTTCTAAAGTTTTTTTTAAATATTTTTATTATTCATTAAATCATTTTTATTTAGTTTAAAAATTCCGTTGAATTGTGTCCCGTTATAGTTTTTTTTTAACTTTTAATTTTGTGTTACCCACTAAAACTTGAAGCGCTTCTTTTGAGGTGAATTTCTTAAAATGATTTTAATTTTTAAATATCGTCCTATGTGGGAGAAACAGCATAAAATTGTAAGATTACAGGTGCTTTGTAATTGGTAGTCTTGGCCCAAGAGAGAACCAAAGGCTAAGAAAGATAATAGGCCCATTTTCTTGGCGACTTGCTACATATGAGATTAATCGGTTTTTTTTTTTTTAACACTTTATTTTCATTTCATGAAAGGATAATGATTGTCTAGTGTGAAGTAGAATGGAATTGAGTTTAATAAATAATCTATGATAAAATATAAAGACTTATTACTTTAAGTTTTGAAATTTTGAATTAAGATATATCCTCGTTGACATCAATTAAAGTCACGGGAATGACAATACTTAATATGGGAGATGATCATTTATTTTTTTTTTCTTTGTTTTTGGTTGATATGCTGCCTCCAAATATTATTTGAAGTGACTTACTGAAAAAATTGCAGGGTTGGGATCAGACTTCCAACAGTGGAAGTGAGGTTTGAGAAACTGAGAGTGGAGGCAAATGCCTACGTAGGCAGGAGAGCTTTACCAACGCTCCCAAATGTGGCCTTGAATACCATCGAATCAGCCATTGGCTTATGTGGCATTAACATGGCCAAGAGAAGAAAAATCACCATCCTTAAAGACATCTCTGGCATTATCAAGCCATCCAGGCACGCCTCTCTTCTTGTTCTTGTTTCTTTCTCAGCAAAGTATCACCCAACTTGATATTATTCTTTTATGGCACTTGAACAGGATGACTTTGCTGTTGGGTCCCCCTTCTTCAGGGAAGACGACCCTTTTGCTGGCTTTGGCTCAAAAACTAGAACATGCTTTAGAGGTAGATTTACTGTTCTTCCTAGTTGCTTCAATTTCTCGAGAAATTAAAGTCTTCACCGTAATGACCAAGATTTTTATCATCTTTGAAACGTAAGGTAAAAGGAGAGATCACTTACAACGGCTACAAGTTCAGTGAGTTCGTTCCTAGAAAGACCTCAGCCTACATAAGTCAAAACGATGAGCATATTGCAGAAATGACTGTCAGAGAAACTCTGGATTTCTCATCCAGATGCCAAGGGGTTGGAACTAGATATGGTAATTTCATATCATCAATGTTCTTTCACAAAACTTAAAAATTCAGTTAGATTCTTGTATTAAGTCAATTAAGATATTGTTACAGATCTATTAGCTGAGCTTGCTAGAAGAGAAAAGGAAGCAGGAATATATCCGGAGGCAGAAGTTGATCTCTTCATGAAAGTAATTTACTCAATAAACTTCCTAATTAATTATCTAGTCCAAAACACTAAACTCTGTAACCATCTCATTATGTTCATGAGTTCTCTCAGGCTTCTGCTGTCCCAGAAACAGAAAGCAGTCTCATGACTGATTACACTCTCAAAGTAAGAGATTTCCTCCCAAAGTTCAGTTTAGTAATTAAATATATTTAATCTGTAGTCAATGTTTTGATTCTTTGTTTACACGTGAAACAGATATTGGGGTTGGATATATGCAGAGACACTATTGTGGGTGATGAGATGCGAAGAGGTATCTCCGGAGGTCAAAGGAAGCGACTGACGACAGGGGAGATGATAGTGGGGCCCACAAAGACACTGTTCATGGACGAGATATCGACGGGTCTGGATAGCTCGACCACGTACCAGATAGTGAAATGCTTGCAGCAGATTTGTCACCTTACAGAAGCAACCATCTTCATGTCCCTACTCCAACCTGCTCCTGAAACCTTCGATCTCTTCGACGATGTTGTCCTTGTGTCGGAGGGCCAGATCGTTTACCAGGGCCCACGTGATCACATCCTTGAATTCTTCGAATATTGCGGCTTCCGTTGCCCTGAAAGAAAGGGAACCGCTGATTTCTTACTAGAGGTGTGTGTTTGTGTATGTGAGTGGGCTAAACTGATGACATGGGAAGTCTATCATGTTGAATTTAATAACTAATATATAATAAATGATAAATACTCATAAACTTTCTCATTTTGCTCCTTCCTGTTTTCGGGGTTGCTTTCCATTTACAGCAAGTGTAATAGTGTAAATGTGTGTGTGCATGTACTGATATGATTATATGACAGATATTATTCACTTTTATAGGTAAATTCAAGAAAAGACCAGGAACAGTATTGGGCAGACAGAAGCAAGCCATACAGATACATGCCAGTTACAGAATTTGTGAATAGGTTCAAGGAATTTCATGTGGGGGTTCAGCTGAAGAAAGATCTCTCAGTGCCATTCGATAAGTCCAAGGGGCACAGAGCGGCTTTGGTTTTTCAGAAGCATTCGGTGCCGAAAATGCAACTTCTCAAAGCATGTTGGGACAAGGAATGGCTGCTTATCAGAAGAAACGCCTTCGTGTACATATTCAAGTCATGCCAGACCGTCGTCCTTGCTTTTATAACTGCGACGGTGTTCTTCAGGACGACGATGCACCAGAATAACGAGAATGACGGGGCAGTCTACGTTGGGGCGATTATGTTCTCCATGCTCAACAACATGTTCAGTGGCTTCGGAGAGCTTGGGCTTATCATGCAAAGGCTTCCTGTGTTTTACAGGCAACGAGACATGCTTTTTCATCCTGTTTGGACTTACACTCTTCCCAATTTTCTTCTTGCTTTCCCTCGAATGGTGTTAGAGACAATCATTTGGGTGGCTATTACCTACTACTCTGTAGGGTATTCACCTGAAATTAGCAGGTGATTCCTATCCATTTGTTCGTAGCTTGCTTCTATCATCTTGTGTCTTTCAAATGTTTGTGTTATGTCCCATGTTCATGGAAGTCTTAGTAAGTTTTATATTGACATAGCATTACATACATCTTGATATTTAATGGGGTAATTGATCCATTTTCAGGTTCCTTAAGCAACTTTTGTTGCTATTTCTTACTCAAATAATGGCATCTGGGTTGTACAAGTCAATTGCTGCACTCTGTAGGTCGGTGATTATTGCTAACACAGGGGGGTCCCTCATGATCCTTCTAATTTTCCTACTGGCTGGTTTTATCGTTCCTAAAGGTGAGAGAGAAACAAAAATTGTTAGAACTTGGATTTAAAGGGATACTTGTGGCCTGTTTAATGAATGTTCTGATAGACTCACACTAATGCATATTGATAATAGATGAGATTCCAAGTTGGTGGTCATGGTCTATGTGGATTTCACCAATGTCATATTCCTACATTGGCCTTATTTTGAATGAGATGACTGCCCCAAGGTGGATGAACAAAAGGGTACGCAAGTAGAATTGGCTTCTATTAGCGAAAGAAAAATTTTGGATACCTGGCTTCAAGTTTTGAGTTGAACTTTCCGTCCTTGTGTGCAGTCTTCAGATGGTTCTGCCCCATTGGGTGTAGCTATTTTAAAAGCCAGTGGTATTTACACGGAAGCAAAATGGTATTGGATATCAGCAGCAGCTATTGTGGGATTAGCAGTTGCGTACCATGTCTTCTTCACCCTTTCACTTATGTGCCTAAACCGTAAGCATCTGAGATTTTGACCAATTCTTTTTGTTTGTTATTTTAATGCCTCATCGAGTCTAAGAAAGTAATTGATTTCTCTTATCTTGTTTGCTGCACTAGCTCTTGGAAAAAAACAAGCTACGATATCTGAAGAGGAAGCAAGTGAAGTGGAGACTATATGATCAGAAGACAAGTGCAAATGCAGCAATTGAGTAGCAGAACCACTACTAACTCCGCACTAGAGTCAACCACTGAAGTTGGCCCCAACAGAGGAATGGTTCTACCTTTCACACCACTTGCGATGTCCTTTGATTGTGTTAATTACTATGTGGACATGCCAAGTGTAAGGATTATATTATTTCTTGGATTTAGCTGTATCATTAGATATTTATTATAGCTTAAAATGATAGAAGACAAAAGCCAACGGTTCAATTCTTTTCATGAAGTGACGATGCTTCATAAATTATACATATGAAGGAAATTTAACGAAGTTAACTTTGTCAGGAAATGAAGGAGCAAGGAGTGACAGATGATAGGCTACAACTACTAAAGGACGTAACTGGAGCTTTTAGACCTGGTGTTCTGACTGCTTTAATGGGAGTCAGTGGAGCAGGAAAGACAACCTTAATGGATGTTTTAGCAGGAAGGAAGACTGGTGGCTACATCGAAGGCGACATTAGAATCTCTGGGTTCCCAAAGAAGCAAGAAACCTTTGCAAGAATTTCTGGTTACTGTGAACAAACTGATATCCACTCGCCTCAAATTACTGTTTATGAATCTTTGATTTTCTCTGCTTGCCTCCGCATACCTAAAGAAGTCAATACGAAAGAAAAGACGGTAAGCATTAAGCATGTGATATCTCTCGATTGGTTTCTTAATACATGATCATTTTAACGAGGTTATACTAATTTGACTATGTTATCATCTTCTAAGAAATTTGTGGATGAAGTAATGGATTTGGTGGAGCTGAATAATCTCAAGGATGCTATAGTAGGGATTCCAGGAGTTACAGGATTGTCAACAGAGCAGAGGAAGAGACTCACAATTGCGGTTGAGCTTGTTGCTAATCCTTCAATCATTTTTATGGATGAGCCCACTTCAGGTTTAGATGCAAGAGCAGCTGCCATTGTTATGAGAACTGTGAGAAATACGGTTGACACTGGAAGAACAGTTGTTTGCACAATTCACCAACCGAGTATTGATATCTTTGAAGCCTTTGATGAGGTACTAAAAAACTCATTATAATTTGTGACCCCATTTGTTTGTGTCTCCTTTTTTGTACTTTGTATTAAATTGCTTCTGTTTGCACCAGCTCTTGCTGATGAAGAGAGGAGGACAAGTGATCTACTCAGGACCACTTGGCCGTCATTCTCAAAAAATCATTGAATTCTTTGAGGTAGTTCAACAGATTTATATATATTTTGTTTTAATCCAACAAATACTAAACATTTGATTCCACGTTCCTTCCTTTGTCACAGGCAATTGAAGGTGTCCCAAAAATCAGGGATAAGTACAATCCAGCCGCATGGATGCTAGAAGTAACCTCCATTGCAGCAGAAGTTCGGCTTGGGATTGATTTTGCTGAACACTACAAGTCATCATCTTTGTACCGGTAAGTTTACAAACAGCTAGAACATGTAGCAACAGAAACAAGTCTTGAGCTAACATGTGGTTATGAGTAGGCAAAACAAGGAACTTGTGAAGGAGTTAAGCATACCACCGGATGGGGCAAACGATCTATACTTTGAGAGTCAGTATGCAGAATCTACATGGGGGCAATTCAAATACTGTTTGTGGAAGAAATGGTGGAGTTACTGGAGGAATCCAGATTATAATCTTGTCAGATTCTTCTTCACTTTGATAACTGGCCTCCTCATGGGGACAATATTTTTTGGGTTTGGAAAAAGAAGGTAAAAGTATTATTAGTAACTTCAATAAGATGATTTGGAGGATTTCACTTATCTAATTGCTTTCTTATCATCTTGGCAAGTATAGGAAAAGCTGGACTGACCTCAGAGTCGTCATAGGAGCCATGTTTTCTACCGTTCAATTTGTTGGAGTAAACAACTGCTCAACTATTCAACCAGTAATCGGTGTTGAGAGAACAGTATTTTATCGAGAAAAGGCTGCTGGAATGTATTCAGGCTTGCCCTATGCTATTGCACAGGTTCAATATAAAGTCAAAAAAGTAACTTTATATAGTGCATTCAGATTTGAAGAGCCGAAAAACAAAGAGAAGACAGATGAGAAAGAAATGAAATAGACCTTCTATTAGTAGTATTATCTGATGCTTGTAATGAATGGTTCAACTGTTCCATGAATTTGCAGGTGGTGATTGAAATACCTTATGTACTTCTTCAATGTACATATTACTCTGTCATAGTATATTCTATGATTGCATTTGAATGGACAGCAGCAAAGTTCTTCTGGTTCTACTTCATCTGCTTCTTCTCCTTCTTGTACTTCACGTATTATGGGATGATGTCTGTAGCCATCACCCCCACCACCCAACTTGCAGCAATTTTCTCATCATCATTCTATGGACTCTTCAATGTCTTTTCTGGTTTTATGATCCCAAGATCAGTGAGTAGTAGTACCATTCCCATTTCCTTATATATATATATATATAGGAAACATTGTAACTCTTACCATGTTTTGTATATGTTTACTGACATTATATGATATTACATGTATATATTTCAGAGAATTCCTAAATGGTGGTCTTGGTATTGCTGGATTTGCCCAGTGGCATGGACAATTTACGGATTGATTGTGTCACAATATGGTGATTTAGAAGACAGGATTGAAGTTCCTGGGATTGAAAATGGTCAATCGATCAGAGAATTCATTCAAAGCTATTTTGGGTATGATCCTAACTTCATGGGACCTGTTGCTGCAGTTTTGGTCGGCTTCACTGTCTTCTTTGCTTTCATGTTTGCTTTTGGCATTCAATTCCTTAACTTCCAGACCAGATAGATCAACAACATCAGAGTCATTCTGATCAAAATTTCAAAGAATATCAGTCAAAACAAGATTCAAAGAATAAATGGGGAAAAAATGGAAGGCCAAAAAGCAGAAGAGTGGAGAGATAAGTAGAGAGCAAAGTTTAGAAAGAAATTTTGTATTAAGTGACTTGTTCCATGTTCATGTAATCTTCTTCATAGATAATAAGTAAGTTTGATGCAGCAAATTTTATCTGTCATGTATAGGTGACAGCAAGAATCTTATTGATCGCCTACCCAAAAAATAGGAAAGTAAGATCTTAGTCAGTGTGAATTTGTGCTTATTATGAGAGAAATCAGTGAGTATCATGTCGCATCTTTTGCAGCAAAATCAGTAGTTTTTACATTCATTTATTTCAACTTCATATATATATATATATATATAATGGCCTAATATAAAACCTTATTTTCCCCCACAAAGCAGGGCATATGTTTAATTCATTGATATTCAACAGTTCAATTTCCTTTATACATACATACATATATACATATATATATATATACATATATACATATATATATATACATATATATATATATATATATATATATAACTCACAGGTAACAAGTGATTATTATTTATAAATTTTAAACAATGTGACATTTTTTTAACTCTAAGCAATACACGAAAAGAAACACAATCTAATTAATATTTCATTATGATGGACTAAAATATAATCTTCTAATAACATATAATAATATAGTATTTTATATGCCTCTAAAATTGGGTCTAGCGATAAAAACTAATTCTTTATAACATGATCAATTAATGTTCAAATTCTTTAGAAAATGTGCTCATATTTATTGTCTAACGACTATCCTTTGAATATGATTGTCTTTAATAAATAGAAAGATACATGTGACTAGAAATATGGTATTCTATAGATCATAGTAACTACCCACTTAGGCTTCCTCTATTTCTTAGTCAATTAAGTTTTGGTTGAACAATTTGGTTTGATGAACATTGTTCAAATTGGAGATGATTACTCGTGAAGGAAACATCTTGTTTTTTCTTCCCTTCTCAACCGCCAACCATTATTTCATCATTATATTCACAAATTGTTAAAACCCATAAACTTGTGGAACCGTTGGAACATTGGATTCTTTTTGCAGAATAAGCTGCAAAATGTTCAGATTATAAAAATCAGATATCTTGCTATAGGCGGATTCCATTGAATGGGAGTGGCTTAATTTTTCTTGAGTACGGTGGAAAAGTGAAGCTGTATGGATTGAAAAACTCGCTGAAACAGCTAACTTTAATAAGGACCGAATTTTCTGACTAAAAAAAAAAAGACCAAATTTTCAAGACAACCTATAAAAAGGATTGAAGTAAGTATAATGATATCTTTTACTTAAAAGGAAAAACTTACTCCCTCCGTTAAAAAATATAAGATATTTTTTGAGAAGTTAAATGTTAAAAAATATAAGGCATTTTTACTCTTTCAAGGTATAATTATTTTCTTTTTTTCAAAAGTGTCCCTATTAATAATGATTTTATATTTATTATAGGGTGTTTAATAAGGATAAATATGAAAAAATAGGGTTAATTGAAAAGTAAGTAACTACTTTATTGGAAGGTGAAATTCAGTTAAAAATACCTTACATTTTTTAATGAAGGAAGTATTTAACTTTATATATTTAAAATACTTGTTTTTAATTAAATCAAGACATGTACTCCCTCTGTTTAAAAATAGAAGACATTTTTTAAGGAGTTGGATGTTAAAAAATGTAAGGCATTTTTAGTTTTTTGAGGTGTAATCATTGCCTTTTTTTTCAAAAATGCAACTATTGATATTGACTTTATAGTTATTATAAGATGTTTAATAGGAATAAATATGAAAAGTTAAGGTTAGTTTAAAAGTAGGTAACTATTTTTATTGAGGAGTAAGATTCGGTTAAAAATGCCTTACATTTTTTAACGGAAGATGTATATTTTTTAGATATTATTTATTCTATAAAAAATTCTTATTATTAATATTACTAATACATTAAAATTCACATGTCTTAATTTGATTGAATAAAATTATATTAAATATATAAAAATAATTACATAAACCTTACCCTTACTTAAAATATTAATCAAGTAATCCGATTAATTTTAGAAAAAAAAATACTAAAATCTCAACGAAATATATAAATGACAATTATTTATCTTATAAATTGTAAAAATTAAATAAAAAATTATAAATTTTCACATGATCTCATTTTTTTTATTCTGAAAAGGGAATTTAACCTACAATCATTAATATCAGAAAGGTATCTAGAGACTTCAAATAAATTATAACATTTTGAAAGACCTAATTATTATTTATATATTTTGATAGAATTTTGTTATCTTTTTTTTATTTTAATATTTAAATCATCGTACAATATTGTGCCATGCAAGAGTACATGCGAGTTTAATTTCACCCAAAAAAAAAAAATAGAGACATCACCAGCAATACATTTTTTTTTTTTGAAAGAATCTCACTTAAAGCCTCTAGAATACAAAAATGTGCATTTAGTGTCAAACAAAATTTGAAAACACATTATGGGCCGAAAAGCCCTTCTTGTGAATTTTGTTGTGCATGAAAAGATATATTTACCTTTGTTTTAACAATATGACTGTATATGTATAACACATTGTTCATGAATTCTCAACATAATACTTATAAATACACAACATATTTGGTGAATATTAACTTGAAGTATATTGTTTCAATAAAAATATGTTATTCATTATAGACTTTATATTATACAAATGTTATAAGTTTACATATATTCACTATGTTGAGAATTAATGAATATCATGTTATGTATTCATGGATATTGTGTTGTTCATCCTTTATTTGTTTGTATATTTCACTTTAAGTTAAACCATATCTTTTAAATATGTTATGTATTCATGAATATTATATTGAAAATTTATAAATATTGTGTTGTAATATTGTTAAGGACAAGTGTACTTTCTCATCCACAACAAAATGTGCAAAAAAATCCTCATGCCTTTAGTACGTTTTCAAATTATATTAGGTTTTAAATCCAATTGTTTTGTGTTTTGGTGGCCTAGGTGAGATTCTCCCTTTTCTTAAAAAAAAAAAAAAATTACAAGGTCACGTAAAACCTTCAATACATATAACGCTCTTGGTAGCATCACAACTGTCACCTACTCGTCTCCAGTTGACAGAGTCTTGGGTTGGGACCGAGTTATATATTGTCTCAATTTCTGTTTTCTCTCCTCCCTTTCTTTTCCTTATCTTCTGTGACAAATTCAGGCTAAGAGGGAGAAAGGGGAGATAGAGAGTCGGGAAGAAGAGAATTGAAGAGAAAAGCAAGGGCACCTTCCCTGAAGACTCTCTCTCTCTCTTTCTCTCTCTCTGAAATACACTCACACAACAACCGCAAGACTCTCTCTTTCTCACATTTCTCTCGCCATCATGATCTCATCCAATAGATGCAGCTTACTGGTAAATTCAAATCCATAAATTTTTAACCAAATTCCTTATTCTGCCTCAGAAACTCGAGCACTACTTTCTAATTTTGTTCTTCTTTGTTCTTCCGGTAAATCAGTAACAATGGCTTCGTCTGGTTGTTTCCATTCACAATTTGATATGATAGGATTGTAGACCCGATCATTCGAAATTATGTTTATGGGTTCTCTATTTAGAGTTTATAAAATCCAAATATTTCTTTAATTTTCTTAGGATTGCTTGATTTGCTTATCTAGGTATAGAGATTTATTACTCTGAATTTGTATACAGAGCAACACAGGGTTAGCTAGATGTTCTAGTTCCTCTGCTCTACAGAGGAGACGTTTAATTCCTTTTAGAGTGGTTTGCGTGGCTTCTAGCAGTAGTTCAAGTGGTGACAGAAAACACAGCCCTGTGATGGAGACTATAGCTGACGTGGACAATAATCCAACCGTAGCCGGAGGTGTTCGGGATGTTTATGGTGAGGATAAGGCCACAGAAGATCAATTTGTTACTCCATGGAGTGTCTCTGTTGCTAGGTAAGAGTAATAAGGTTCTATAGTTAAAGACTATTCAATTTCTATGCTATATTGTTATGATTTGAATGCAAAATATGGGATTTCAATCCCACGTTGACAGTTTGGGATTCTAATATAGGATTCATATGAACCTTGATATCTCTAACTTGTCTTTTGGGACATGGCTCCCTTGAAAGATTATACTCCCTCTAGTCCTAAATATTAAGAGCTTGTTAGTCTTAAATGTAAGACCTCAATCTCCTTTGTCTTACATTTATTAATTTTCTTCCACACTACCCTTATTGATTACACGCATTAATGTGTGCAATCATTAGGAATAGTTTTTTGTGTAAATAAAATGAGGGATGTTTTAGGAAAATTAACATACATATTTTACAAAAGACTAACTTGACTAATTTTCTTAATTTGTGTGGATTAGTTATGATCATTGTTGTAATAATGGTTAATTTGTTTGATAGGCATCCTGATGAATATTTTAGGTTGATTCTATGGTTATGTTGATAGAATGTTATGCTTTTAGTTCAAATCCAAATGATGGCAATAATATACAATGGAATGCCTTCTGTTTTCTACGCATATTCTCATGTTTTTATTTCTTTGTTTTTAGTGGGTATACCTTGTTGCGTGATCCACACTTTAACAAAGGGCTTGCCTTCACCGATAAAGAAAGGGATGCCCACTTCTTGCGAGGTCTTCTTCCCCCAACAAGTGTTTCACAAGAAACTCAGGTCAGATTAGCTCTGATGTAAAGATGTTCTGAACATTTTTTCTTCTTATTATTTTTGATGGATTAAGGGATGGAAAATGTTCTTTCTTTTATTGGCCAAAGAGTGATATCCTCACACAACATTGGGTAAAAGTGGTTTCCATTTTATTGGTCAGGTGAAGAAAATGCTCCAACATATACGTCAGTATCAAGTTCCTTTGCAGAGATACATGGCAATGATGAATCTCCAGGTGGTCTTCTAAATAGATATATTCACATTTTAAAAAAATAAAAATAGAAAAAGAATGAAGCTTTGGTCTCCTTACATTTAGTCTTTATTTTACTTGTTGCAAAAGACTGGTTTTCATAAAATTGTAGACTGCATTATGATGCCATTACTAATGTGTACCAGAAATCATTCTGAGTGTTTGGATGGGTAATTTAAGTGGGGGTAAGTAAATTTTTCAACAATTTGAATTACTTCATTAGAAAAATCTTTTGCTGGATTAGCAGGAAATGAATTTTTAAATTATTGAGGCTACACGTTGCCTTTTGTGTTTTCATTTTTGTACAGACAGTCAATTTTTTAACAGCTCCATAGATTTTCCCTATTTTATCTGTAATTTGTTTATAGCAAAATTGTCCCCTTTGGTTTGTGAATTTTGAAATTGAATTATAATGCTTTCAGACTTGTACTTGATGGTTTGCAGGAGACAAATGAAAGGCTGTTTTACAAACTTCTTATTAGTCATGTTGAGGAGTTACTCCCGGTTGTCTACACTCCTACTGTTGGAGAAGCTTGCCAGAAATATGGGAGCATCTACATGCGTCCTCAGGGTCTTTATATAAGTTTAAAGGAGAAGTAAGTTTAATTCCAATCGCCTCTTCCATATCATTCAGTATTTTCTCTATCATTTTTTGTCAAAATAGTTTTTTTTTTTTTTACCTTTTTAAAGGGGGAGGGTTCTTGAAGTACTAAAAAATTGGCCTGAGAAAGACATTCAAGTTATTGTTGTAACTGATGGAGAGCGGATCCTTGGTCTCGGGGATCTTGGCTGTCAGGTATTTCTATTATTGTTATGGAGACAAGCTTTTTGATAGTTTAGTTTGAAATGTAAGATCTAATACTGTAATCTCTACTTTGTTGTTAATTATGCTGTGTTTCTCAGGGGATGGGGATACCTGTAGGAAAACTTTCTTTATATACTGCACTTGGAGGAGTTCGCCCTTCTGCTGTAAGTGTTAGCAATCCACATTGTTAACTCGTATATTATGTCCATACATAATTGCAATGATAAATTATTTGTTGAATTTGAAGATGTTACTGAAATTTGAATCTTCAATCAATTTAACAATTTATAATTTCATTTGGTTGTATATACTGGTGAAACTGCCCAGTGGGGATTGGGCATGGTGTCATTTACTCCTTTATAATTTATATTTCTTCATACAATTATAATATTATCTTATAATTTGATTGTTTCAGTGCTTACCGATAACCATTGATGTTGGTACAAACAATGAGGGACTGTTGAATGATGAATTATATATAGGGCTTAAGCAAAGACGAGCAACGGGGCAGGTTCATGATCCGTTTTCTTATTTTGGCTAGTGTTGAAATACCTAATTGGTCTTAATCTCTATCATTAAAATTATTGAACTATTCTGTAATACTTTCAGTTATTCTGATTCCAGGAATATGCTGAACTTGTCCATGAATTTATGACAGCAGTCAAGCAAAATTATGGGGAAAAAATCCTTGTTCAGGTATTGAGCCAAATGCAAAGGAATAATCATCTCTTGATTTGAGGGACAACAATCTACAGAACTCTAATTTTTCGTTTTCAATCCGTTCTGAATCTGTCGTGCCATATTTGTAGTTTGAAGACTTTGCGAACCATAATGCTTTTGATCTACTTGAAAAATATAGATCAACACATCTTGTTTTCAATGATGATATTCAGGTAAACATTTTCATCTTATGAGTTGATATACTTTAGCCCTTATCTATCTGTAATATTCTTTACTTTTCTTTAGTTTGGCTGAGATGGGATTTGAGCCCAGATCATTCAATTGACAAATCCAATACCATTGAATCAAAGCCTGTTGATCTATATCTGATATTCTATCTTCTTTATTCCAGGGAACAGCATCGGTAGTCCTTGCTGGACTTGTTGCAGGTCTGAAATTTATTGGGGGGAAGTTATCTGATCACAAATTCTTATTCCTTGGAGCTGGAGAGGCAAGTCCATACAACCTAAAATTATTCTCTTTTTTAAATGATTCATAGAGAAAGAATGGAATGTAGAAACATATCTTCTGAACTAACTACATAACAAAGAAAATGCAATACATACTATCTAATCAAGTTGAATCTTTGACTTGGTCCCTTATCTTGAACCTACAAATTACTCCCACTATCATGTGATTATGTCCTTCTGGCTAAACTATATTGGCGGGTGTAGGCTGGCACTGGAATAGCAGAACTCATAGCACTTGAAACTTCAAAACAGGTTGCCATCTACTTTAAGAGTCATTATTTTTTTGGCCATATAAGAGTGATTACTTTGACTTTTTATGTTTTTTTTTTTTTGCCTCTTCTTGCTTCTTTTTTGGCCTTTTTTGCGGGGAATAAACTTATATTTATTGAGAAACTGTAACTGTTGAAGCAGACAGGGGCCCCAATGGAAGAAGTGCGCAAAAACATTTGGCTGGTGGACTCAAAGGTTGTACATAACCTAGTTCAGTTCTCACCTCTATAAAATAGTTTTTTTTGTTTTCCACCAGATTAATCTTTAGATCTTTTACTACTACTTTTGCAGGGATTGATTGTCAGCTCCCGTAAAGAATCGATTCAACATTTTAAGAAGCCCTGGGCTCATGAACATGAACCTATCACGGATCTTGTAGATGTTGTTAAAGTATGAACTCTATCTTTTTCCCTTTCATATCTAGACACGCACACTTGCACCGAAGCACAAGACAACAGAAATTTTAAATTTCTCATTTTCAACCTTGTTTTACCAGAATATTAAGCCAACAGTGTTGATTGGGACATCGGGCCGAGGCAAAACTTTTACTCAAGAGGTGATTGAGGCTATGGCTGAAATCAACGAGGTACTACATTCGCTCAATCCATCCACCTTAATATGGAATTTCATTCTTGGTTACAAAAACTGAGCAATGTATCATGCAACAATGCTTGCAGAGACCTATTATTCTTGCTCTTTCCAACCCAACATCACAGGCAGAATGTACTGCTGAAGAAGCTTATAAATGGAGTGAGGTAATAAGAATATGCAACCAGTATATGTATGTTATAATATGAGCTTCTTTGCTATCCATGGCCATTTATATACTATTTTCCTGTAGTTATAATATATCAGTACTGACTACATCAATTTTCATCTAGCCCTCATTCTTATGCATTAATATCAGGGACGTGCCATTTTTGCTAGTGGGAGCCCATTTGCCCCAATTGAATATGAGGAGAAAGTACTTGTGCCTGGCCAGGTCCCAGCTTCAGAGAATTATTGTGTTAAACATTGGCATTTGGAATTAGGACTGATCAGGTGGTTTTATTTTTTTCCCTTCAGGCCAATAATGCATACATCTTTCCCGGATTTGGTCTAGGTTTGATAATGTCTGGGACCATTCGAGTACACGACGACTTGCTTTTGGCTGCCTGTAAGTACATGAGACTCGAATACTTCATGCTAAGAACAAGTAGAATTGGGAGGAATAGGACTATAAAAGTGCAATATGAATATAAGTTAATTGGTTTCATGTATTGCCCTTGTTCATTATCGTCATATTTTTCCCCGTTCACTCTCTCCAAAATATGTATTAAACTCTTCATTACTTGGCCAAGCAAGCTCTAATACCATGTCAAAAACCATTTCATCTCAAAAGCTTAAACTATCAAAGAAAGTTAGCATGACCTGAATCTTTAAAATTATTGTTGTTATTGTATGCTATGGAATTGATTTTACTCATATATCTCAAAACAGCGGAGGCTTTGGCTTCGCAAGTGACAGACGAGCACTTTGACAAGGGACTCATATACCCACCGTTCAAAGATATTAGAAAGATTTCAGCTCACATTGCTGCCAATGTAGCTGCCAAATCATATGAGCTTGGTAAGACCTTTTTTTCCTACCATTTTAGCAAAGCTTTGGATACAATATATAGTCATTTGATATCAGATTCTCTCATGACTTTTTACATAAGGATGTTTCAAAACATTTCCCCAGGATTTTTACCTTAACAGGACCTGCTAACTGTAGAATAAAATGAATTGAGTTTTCTGGCCAAGTTCATATGCTTTCTCAAGCATTTGTTCTTTTAAATACCTTGATAATTAGCTTCTTATGTTGTTTGGATGATGCTAGAATTGAATTGACTTTTTTTTTTTTTTTGGGCTCAGGGTTGGCCACTCGTCTTCCTCAACCAAAAGATTTGGTTAAATTTGCTGAAAGCTGCATGTATACTCCAGCCTATAGAAGATATCGGTGAAGAGACAATATTTATTATTATTATTATTATTATTATTTATTTATTTATTTATTTTCTTGAGTTTGGCGTCAATTTTTTCATGTCAGTTTTTTCTTTAACATATTCATCTACTCTTGGAAGTTGTTGAATGAGTGATAAAGCCTACCTGGTTAATGCTGGTCGTATTTGTTGGAGAAGACAATACCTTAAAAACTACTTTGTACTAGTGTTAAATTGTTAATTTTATATAATGACTCATTTTATGGGGTAGGCAAACGTAAGACTAATAAATGATATGATTTGTGTAAAAGTTTTCTTTTGGCCACTTATGATTTGTGTGAGCTTGATTGTCATTCTTTTGTAGTGTAAATATCTAATACCCAGTATTACTAATTAATTTATATTTAAGCACTATCATGATTAAATTGAATAGGTCTTGAATCTTTAGTATGGTGTTTATTATATGTATGTGTGCAAGTTTCATTTGAAAAATGACAACTAAGAATCTTTTAAAAAGTTGATATAAAGACTTTTTAAAGATTTTATAAAGTGGGGACATTCATGGAATGAACCCAAATAAGTAAAATTAATTACTAATAACCCCTTTGAATTTAAGTTGTTGCTGCTAGGTCCTTCTAAAAAACTTATACAAGAAACATGTGGGACAAGTTGTGCATTTTTTAAAAAAAAATGACCCATAAATAATAATATTGAAAGAGGGCTTGTAATTTTTTTTTTTTTCATCATGTGATGGTTTACAAGTTCTTAGGATGAACTGTTTGTAATAACTTAAGTTTAAGGGACTTGTTGGTAATTAATTTCTTTACTTTGAATCTTCGGTGATCTTTTTCCAAGAAAAAAAAAAAAATCATTACTATCAACCGTTCGTGATGACTTAAGTTTAAGGGACTTATTAGTAATTAATTTCTTTACTTTGAATCGTTCGTGATCTGTTTCGAAGGAAAAAAATCATTACTATCTTTATTTAAAAATATAAGGTATTTTAAATTAAATTTTATCTCAATAAAGTATGTTATTTATCTTTAAATTAACTCTATTTTTTATATTTATTCATATTTAATAAGGTATTTCACCTTAAAATAAATATAAAGTAATTTATTTAATAAAAATATTTAAAAAAAAGCAATAATTACTCTGTAAAAGCTGAAAAATGCTTTATATTTTAACATTCAATATCTCAAAAGATGTTTTATATTTTTTAATAGAGGGAGAGCCTGTTTTGAAATGAAACCATAATCTCTCTGGGTTTTTCATTTGTACATGCTCTTGCTCCTTTAGGTTTTTTTTTTTGGGGGGGGTTAATTATGAATTTAGAATTGAATTTTTATAGTTTAAATTTCTTAATTTATTTTTGCCATCAGGATAAAGTAACTTCTAGTCCCTTCTTGTTGAGGTTCTATTAATTTGGTCCCTCAATTTTAATTTTTATTATTTCAGTTTTTAACGTGTGTTCTCGTTCTCAATTTAATTCTTTAAGCTTTGTAAGAAAAAATAAACGCAAAGGAAACCAATGTAAAATTAGATTGCTGAAATGGGAATATACAAATGAATTAAATAAATCACATCAGTCAAATATATAGAATCCTAATTACTTATGTGTTATTTATTTTACATATGCCCTCATAAAAATGTATAATGTTGAATTATGAATTATAAAATAATAAAATAAATACAAACAAGTAATCGGGACTCAACATATTTGGCTAATTTGTTTTATTTAACCCATGTGTATGTCCTCACATTAGCAATTTAATTTTCACATCAATTTTTTTAAAGCTATTTTGTATTATAAAATTTAAAGAATTAACTTGATAACAGAAAAAAAAAACATTAAAGACTCAAATGATAAAAATTAAAATTGAGGGACCAAATCATTAATATCTCCAAACATAATGGACTAAAAATTGCTTTATGCCAAAGGAATCAGGACCAATGTCCAAAAGAAAAGTAAATTGACAATTTCTAAGAATGACAATTTAAGACAAAAAATATGAAGGAAAAATGACAATTATAGATGTTGCAAAGGCATTAATAAAAATTGAAGAACTTGAAATATTGAAATGTCATGAAAGAATTATAGTCTTTATTTGTAATTAAAAAATAAATAATCATTAACATAATGACTAAATGAAAAATTAATTGTGAATTTAAATAATGTTATTCATGAATCAATAAAAAATTAATTGTGAATGGATAAATGATTTTACGAATTTATGTATCGTCACTTGTAAATTTAAGGATAGTTATTTATAAATTTTACAAAGATCAGCAGTGAATTTATAAAAATTCATTTGTAAATAAATAGTCTTATAAATTTATGTATCACTTGTAGGTCAAGGATATTTAAGGAATGTTACTTATAAATACAAGAAATGTTGTAAATGAATATAAATAATTTTAATTATAAATTAATGTTTTAAGGGCCCTATCATATTTTTGAATATCTATTTACAACTAACTTTTCATAAATTCATAAGTAACTTTTTAAAAATTTATAAATGATTTTCCTTAAATACATAAGTGATGGTGTATGTATTCATGAAACTACCTATCTATTTACAATTGATTTTTCATATACTCAGAAATATTATTTCTTAAATTTACAATAAAATTTCTTTAAATTCACAAGTGGACTTTTACTAGTTATCTCAATAAATAGAAATATTTTAATAGAAAATAAAAACTATGCTCCTTTTCTGATATTTTAATATTTTGAGGTTTTCAATTATCATTAAAGAGTACCTAATTGTCATTTTTTTCATATATGAATTCAATTTCAATTTAGCAGATTTGAAATATCATAGCTTGACATGGATATGGATATATACATATAGAGAGAGAGAGAGTATGATATTGATTCATAACTTTGTACTTAAATTTTTTTAAAAAAAATGGAGTCACAATATCTCTTTATGAATAAGAAATGTAGATTTCATATTTCTTGCACTAGTATATTGATGACTCAAGGATGTCAACGATGGCGCTGTTAGCCATTTGCTCCTATATTTGTAATGAAGACCATTAATCAAAATTAAGAGAGATGAATTGCTTCTTCTTCTTCTTCTTCTTCTTCTTTTTTGAAATATGAAGAAAGAGTAAAAAAATTCAATCAGAAAAATTTTAATCCCAAGCAAGGATAATGGTTTTAAACTTTATAATTGTAGGATTTTTAATTGTAATTAATATTTTTTGAAAGTCATTAAATGCCATTTTAAAAAAAAATTAAGTAAAATCATGCGAAAAATGAACCGAAGCTTATTTAAAAAAATATGTGTCACGTGAATAAATTAAATTCCTTGCGTTATTTACTTATGGGTTAATAAACATTATGAACCCTAATGCATTACATGAAAAGCATCCTGAATCTTGAAGTCCTAAAATATGCAAAATGGACCATAAACTTTTAAGTGTGTGTTTGGTTTTCAATTTATCAAAAGTTAGTTTGATGAAAGTTCATTTGGTAAAAGTCAGTTTGGTGAAATTCAGTTATTGTAATGAAATTTGTGTTTGGATACATTTTTTCAAAAGTCAGTTTCACAAGCTGAAAGTTGTTTGAATTAATAAAAATTTATACTTTTAAAATGTATTTTTGAACATGCAATGACCAAAAAAGACATTTATTTATGATAATTTATAATTTGGCACATTTTAATGAAATTAAATATTTTAAATTTAGAATTTCAATTTCTTGTCACATTTTATTGCTTAGGTAATTTTTATTCTTCTTTTTAAGACTTTAATTGGTTCAATTAGATTAATTTAGCTTTGCGTTTTCAAGAAATTGGAGGGTCAATTTGGTAATTTGTTCATTTTTATTTTAAATCAAATTTTTGACTTTTCAAAGGAAGGGAATGAAAAACTGAAAAATGAAGTAAAAAGGAAAAGAAAAAGAAAAGAAGAGAATGCAGATGAAGGGAGATCATCTCACACGAAAATCACTCGTCTTCTTCATCACCTTCTCTCGATCATAGCTTGGTCACAGGGGTTCATCGTGGAAGAAATGGAGGTGGCAGAGAAATTTTTGTTTCTTCAAGGAAACGTTTCTGTGTCCCTGAGAAATATGATGGTGTTTCTAAGAGAGAAAGGACACAATGCAATGATATGCAATACCAAGTGGGATTCATCCAGTGGGGTCACTGTTTATAACTACAACTTTATTGACATGATCCAATCCAATTCATCATTGTGGCAGAGCATGTACTTCGTTGATATCGATTTCATTGCGCAATTTGAGATTGCTCAGCTGACTTGCAAGTATTCAGAGATTCGTTCCTCTCTTCCCAGCATCTTTGTTGGTACGGTGGAGGAGCTAAAACGCATCGTTTAGGCCATGTGCAATGTTGGAAAAGATGCTTTCAGAGCAGAGGACTCTCTATTCCGCCTTGGAGGAAAAATTGATGCATGCAGAACAAGTGGTTTGTGCCATATCGCCGAACCACAAACCTAGTTTAAGGAAAGCCCATTCTAGTTGTCGTTCCTACCATGACCAAATGATGAAGAATACAAGGACAAGAGACAGCAGAGAGACAAACGAGATGAGAGAGATGAGTGAGCTCTCGGCCAGAAGAGATAGAGTGATAGAACACAAGAATAGAGGGTATCATGGTCAAATATAAGTACAAAAAATTAGATGATCCACATTCACATTTGAAAAGCAGCTAGATGTAGTTTGGAAAATCCACATTCAGCCTATCTCCAAATGTAGTTTCCCAAAGTGTTTTTGTTAAGAAAAAATTCCCCCAAACACCATTTCATATCCTAAAAGTAAAAAATTCCTTTTGGGATGTGGGATGTAGTTTTTCCAAACGGTCCCTACGTCTAAAGCAAATTACCCCATCATTAACTTACACATAACCATCATTAACTGATAACTTTATGGGGTATAGTCAAATGGAGATATGGTAGTCCTTTGTTGATGTGTCATCGGTTATTAAGCACTATAGAACCTAACTATTATGTGAGTAGTATCCTGAATCTTAAACTTTTAAAATATGCAAAACCCCCCTCAAACTTTGAAATTCAAAGTAAATTTCCCCCATCATTTATGGATAAAATGTTAACTATTATATATACCAAATTAGCTTCAACATGATTCATCACAGTGAACGCATAATTGGTTGTGGTAAATGATCTAGAATTTTATGAAATAATATTTTTTGCCCTTTTTTTGTAATGTTTACAAATGATTGGTATATCATACTTTCTTATACTCAATAACTTTAATTTAATCTTATTTTAAGTAATTTTTATTTATTTAATGGTGAAAATTTGGAATACCATTTGAAAAAAGTTTACATATAAGAGAATTTTAATTAACAGGTTAATTTGGATTTGAAATTAGAGATTTTATAGATGATGAATGTAAAAGTCAACAATTTCATCAACACAATAAAACAGCAATTGAGGCAATAGAGAATGAATTCTTTCCTACTTTACAAAGAGATGGTCAAAGCCAACTGAGAGAGATATAGCTAGTGTTCTCTTAAATCCCCTGACTAACAGACTGAATAAAGATTGAGAGATGAAAGCACCATTAATATGTGAGGAGGGATGACACATCAATGAAAAAGTGGGAGGTAATTTGCTCTGAATTTTAAAATTTATAAGATTTTTTTTTTACATTTTAGGAGTTTATGATCTAAAATGCTATTTGTGCAATAATTTAAATTTGTAATGCTAATTAACCGATGACACATAAGCATTTGATTGGACCTTACAAAGTCAACAGTTAATGATGGTTATGTATAAGTTAACGGTGAGGTGGGGGTAATTTGCTCTAGATTTAGAAGTTTATGGTCCATTATGCACATTTCAAAAGTTCAAAGTCTAGTGTATTTTTTGCGTAATACTTTAGAATTTAGAATGCTCATTAATCCTTTACCTATTTATAACAGATACACTAATAATTATTTTAAATATTTTCTAAATATTTTTGTCTCGGCTAGAATCAATCTTTTATGTGAATTAATCTTCAGGTAAACTAGAGGATGAATCTCATCAAATATAATAGTTTGATGGGTATGTAACTTAGCCAAGGTTAATTAACATGACTCAGATGGAGTTCAGCATCAATCACGCAACTTATTCTAACTTATTTAATTATTATTATTATTTCAGTTATTCAAAATATTAAAAGTCACTATAATGAAAGAAAGAGAGGTCATTTTTTGATTCATCTCTAATTCAGAATTTCAAGTGGATAAAAAGCCAACTCCCAGCCTTCTTCCCAGTTTTGTCTTTGCTTGTCTCAGGTTAATCTTGCTTTGGATTATAAGTTTTGAAGATTTTCAGGTGTTGGCTTCAAATTGGTACTTCCTCCATTCAAAAATATAAGATTGGTACTTCCTCCATTAAAAAATATAAGGTATTTTTTGAGGAGTTAGATGTTCAAAAATATAAAATATTTTTAGTCTTTCGAGGTGTAATCATTGCCTTTTTTTTCAAAAGTGTCCTTATTGATAGTGACTTTATATTTATTATAAGACAGTTAATAGAGATAAATATGAAAAGATAAAGTTAGTTTGAAAATAGGTAAGAACTTTATTGAAGATGAGATAAGATTAAAAATGTCTTACATTTTTTAATAGAGGGAGTATTATATTTTAGGACATATGAACAAATTATCTGTTGAACTTTTGGTCAAGTGATACTATAAATCCTAAATCTATTTATTATATAAAACGTTCCTTTAACTTTTGAAAATGTTATAATTTGGCCTTTACCATTAACAAAAATTACTTTAAAATGTTATTTCACTAGAAAATAACCTTAAAAATTATAGAAAATAATAAAAAATTACAATAGAAGATAAAAAAATTATAGATAAGGGCCCAAAAACTTACAAAAAAAGCACCCGAAATTTTTTTAGTCTTTTTTGTTATTTTGATGTCCTTTTCTATTATTTTTTAATTAATTAAATTTTAAAATTAACTTTTATTAATGGCAAGATCAAATTGTATTGTTTTCAAAAATTGAAAAAATAATTTTCATAATAAATTCAAGGTTTATGATACTACTAAACCTAAAATAATTTATTAAAACTTGAAACTTCATCATTTACCTGTTTTTTTTTTTGAAAAAAAATAGGAAAAAATAACAGTTAGGTCCTAAAAAAATGATTTAATGACTATTAGGTTCTTGATAAAAATTTTTATAAAATTAATTATAAATATCAATTCAAACAATTATAAATAAAATTTTTTGTTACAATCTAAAAATTATATTTAATATTTAAATATTTATTTACAATTGAAACTCTTGAATTTATAATAACTTTGATCAATATTTTCAACTTATTTTTCAATTTAGTATTTTGAAATTTAACTGTTATTTTTTTAAAAAAATATAAATTTGAGAATTTTTTTCCTTAAAATTTGAGAAGGTGATTGACATGTCACATGGTGCTAGTTGTTATGTCACATGGTGCTAGTTGTTGCACGTATCTATAAGCTAACATGTCAGTCCAGAAATAAATTTCTATCAAGATTTTTGTTATATGTGTTATCCACATGGCAAAGATGAATAAATATATTTTTGACGTTTACATTAAAGGCTTCACAGGTTCGCTCATCACTTTTACTTTTAAAGACTTCACAGATTTGTTCATTGGATCGCCACGAATCACAATTTCTCCGGCCGGAAAATAGAAGGAAAAAGAAAAATACTCTCAATTCCCCAATGTTCCTCAATTCCACAAATCGTTGCCATTGCTTCAATCTAATGACTCTAGGCAAACACACAAAGTAGTCAATTCAACTCTTACCAATCTGATTCGTATTATATTTAGTCATTTTCTTATAAAGTTAGTTAATTGTATATCTTTATGAGTATAGTTTCTCCTGTCCGTGATATAAGACAACTTTAATCAACTTTGCATTTATCAAAAAAATGATAGTTATATTTTTAAAATTTTTTTATATATATATATATATATATAACTTTAAAATTTTACTTTTTTTTTCAATCAATAACCATAATTAATTGTTGTTTAAAAATTCAAAAAATAATAAATAAACAAGGGGTAAAATTAAAAAAAAAATCAACGACACTAACTTTGTCTCATTTTAGGGTGGGAAAACTTTCAAAGTTTGCCTCATATTAAAGATCCAAGGAAGTTACATGAAATTATTTGATAAATTGTTCATTATATCAAACTTAAAATTATATCCTCCCACTACCAAACTTGCCGTACTCAGATGCCGGATCTCTCTGAGATAAAAACAAACTATTTATGGAAGCAAAATATCTAAAACCCACTATTATTCCTTTTTTCCATATATTACAACGGTGAATATGTGTTTGAAGCTATAAAATCCACCAATTACATCGGCCTCATAATAATATTAAGCATATTTATTGATTCTCTGTCTTCAATTGAGGCTACATGCTGTCTCCTAGGTCCCAGTCCGGATTACTTGGCAAGCTGCACATTGTTTAAAGCAATATTAGAAGTCAAACCTGTTCCCTTATTACTAAGATATTATGCTTATAAATGTACAGAGCCGACCTGAAAGTAAGCTTCAAGTTTCTTTCTCAGTACAGCATGTTCTTTCTTCAGTTGTTGAAAGCTCCTCATGCATCTGCATTATTAATATATATATGAAGAAATATATATCAAACTGATGCATTATCTATGGGTCATGAATATATGAACTCATCTTTCAAATGTGTCTAGTTTTAGAGATGAGCTATATTATTATTACCCTTCTGCATTTTCTGCTTTGCAATATTCCCTAAACAGGGTACACTCTGCTTTTACTTTTTGTGCTCCAATGCTGCAACCCCATAGAACAAAATGAGTTGAAAATCATTGTCATCATGAATTCAAGGTGAAACATGTTAAACAAATACCATTTACCTGGAGCTGCTTCCTTTGAACTGATGCATGATGCTATCAAGCTTGTCGAAATCCAGTGGATTCTTCTCCCTGAGACAAACACAGAACAACATGAAACACAATCACAACTTCACAAGCAGAGGAAGTAAGGAGCAGATTCTGATGGAGAAGTAAGAAAGTGAACTGACATTGCTTGCTGGAGGTTTGAAATGAATCTGGATGAGTCACGGAAGTAAAGAGTCACAATCTCTTCTGCAAAGTTAGGGTTAGCATCATCCTGCAGTTCCTCCAGTTGGATGAATTGTTCATCGAGATATCCCTGAAAAGATCCACTTACTTTATGATTTTTGTGCTGTTTTTTCCTTCTTGAGTGGGTGTTTGTGGCAGAGAGCATTGTCTAAGTAGAACTGGTGTGTCAGCATGTTTATGAACACAAGATCAAACAAAGAGCCCCTCACAATTACAAACCACGTTTTATTTATAAAATTTTTCGATATGGGACTCATAATACAGCCATGTATATTTACTATATGTGAGAATGGCTTAAAGTAGTAAGAAGTAATGGATAGGAAAAGTCATGACAGGGGATATTAGAAGAAGAAATGAAAAGAAGAACCTGATCAAAGAGGGATTGTTTCATGGCAGCAAGTTGCCTGTGAGATTGGCTTCTGTCCATTGAGGTAGAAGAAGTGAGAGTGAGAGTGGAAGAGCATGGTATGGAAGAAGGGAAACTAGGGCTTATATAGAAGATGAAAAGTTGAAAGAATGAGATGCATGAAATGAGATAGGTTACACTTTAAGGGGGAAGTGAACAATATCTCATGACACACGAGGTTCCTCCGTTCAAATTTGATTGGAGCATTTACTTTTTCATTCTTATTTTTTAAAAATAAAATATAGAATAAATATAAATTTTAAAGCTATCTATCTATACTTAACACTCTATAATGTAAGCTTTGCTCTTTATTTAAAAGCCCCTCTCAATTATTGTTGTTGTTTAAGACATAAGGGGCATGATTTATTGGCAGTAAAGATTAATTTCCCTATGGGGATTCCTCTTAGCTAGGTTTTGTTTCATTTACAGGAGTTGAAAATCAAATTTTTAATCACTTGCTTAAGTCATTACCACTCACACTAACTAGATTGACTAATTGATTTGATCAAAAAGTCTAAATTTCAAATGTGGAATGATTTAATCTCATCCGTACAAATTTCTTAGTTTTTAAATTTGAATGACTCCTTTTTAAGCTTATGGTATTATATATATATATATATATATATATATATATATATATTTCTCAAATTGAAAATAAGGATAAAACATCTTAAAATTTGTCCTCACAAAAAGTCTTAGAGTTTGAAGTATTCATATACATCACTTTAATTTTAAAATTGAAGATTGTTTTCATGAGTAGAGATTTTTTTTTCCCCTAATATCACATTCAAGCAATTGTCCTGAAAATTGTATTTATTTTTTTATAAGTACATATGCATCTCTTGGAAGACTTGTTCTTTTATAATTTTTTAATAATATATGTAATTTAATTTTTAGATATTTATCAAGAAATTTGAATAAATTATAGTCATAGTTAATAATTAATAATTAATAATGCTATGGTATAATTATAAAATTTCAAGGTGGGTTAACATCATATTCAATCCATTCATTGATATCATTCTCTCTTTTATTTTAAAAATAATATTCGACAATTTTATATTTTAAATTATCCCAAGTTCTAACTCTTATATATATATATATATATATATATATATATATTTTCATTCTTTTAATAAGGAGATTCTAACAAACTATTGGACCAAAATCTTGTCCAAATGTTAGTTCTCTCAATTGCTTTGTCAAACAGCAAATGGGGAAAAATTCGAGGCCTTAGCTTCTAGCAAACATAAACGAAAGAAAATATATAACATCAAAATTTAAGAATTTCATAAAGAAAATAGACAATTGCATGAGATATACAGAGAATTTATTCCTAAATTAAAAGAGAGTCGAAAATATAGCTTGCAAAGCATGAAAATGAAGTTATACCATTTTATCATTATGAAATAATAAGACAACAATTCTTCACTTTTGTTGCTATCACTTTAGTATGATATTATCACTATTTATGCAATTATGCGAGCCTTCTTTTCGTGGAAAGAAAAGTTTTTTATTCTATGAAAATGGACCTTTCTCATTATAAACTTGATTGCTTTTGTAAGATATATACTTTTTATTGTTTTAGTCTTCTCAATTTAATTCTTTATAAATGGTTTTTATTTAGTAAATATCAATATATATAGTCTTTTTCATCCATAAGATCTAGACATTCATCTTTATTGTACTATTGGGTATTCTTTTTTAACTTATACCTTGATGATATCCTTTTATCAAATGGAGAATCATCCATCATCAATCATTTTTGTAAATCCCATAGGTTTTCATTGTTTTACTATTTATGAACAATTCCTCAAAAAAATATTCATTCTTATTTTATTTTTTTATGGTTAAAGTATACCTTTGATTCTTTAACTTTAATTTACATAAGATTTTATTTTAGTCCATTGATTCTATAAAATATTTTTTAAATTTTTTAATCATAAAACTATTTATTTTACTAATAAAAAATTCCTGCATTAAACTTTTTAAATATTGATAAAATATTATTAAATATTTACATATTAAATTTAAAATAATAATAATTGACATTGAAAATAATCATTTGATATTGACAGTGGTAAGGGTAGAGGATTTAAAAGATATTTTATAAAAATTAAAGACCAAACTAAAATTTTATACAAAGATATACTTTAACATTTTTTATTTAATTGCTTTGATGAATACTGGTTTCAATTTTCTTGAAAGACCCATCTCTTTTATTTTCCCCGGCGGGCAGTATCACAATGTTGTTCGATGCTTTGGTCACCCCTCATTCTTTTTTTAAAAAAATAAAAACATTTTCACAAAAAATTCTCTTTTTAAATTTACTCATCTCTTTAGTCTGACAATCCCAGAGAGTAATAAATTCTAAACTAAAACACATTTAAATATTAATTTATGTGAGAGTTACATCTTGGAACAACAAATTATTTTTTGCTCTTATATTTTTAATATGCTCATAGTAACAATTTCTAAAGTAATTTGTGTAGAAATAAAACAAGTTGTTATTTATATTCCTATTATCTAGGGAACATCAAAATTTAAAGTAAAACATGTTGTTTTATAGTATGAAATTAAATTTTTTTTTAAAAAATACATGTTTTAGATTTTAAATTTGTATGAGCGTAAGAATTTTCTGAAATAAAAAAAATTGTTTTTCAGATATAAATATGGGGCTGAGTAATAAACTCTAAAAATAAAATAATATATTATTTATATGTTTTTATATAAATAAGTTGTTTATCTTTATTTTTAAATACTAAATCATCATAACACTAGTTTATATATGTAAGAATAGCCAAAAGTAAACATAAAAGTTGGCTTTGGATATACATGATTTTAAAAGGTGTGGTGGGGGTTGCTCTGTATTGATATGGTATATTGCAGTGATTTTAAAAGGAAGTTATTACGCTTGATGACCCTCCACACAAAAATTTGCCACTGATACATTATTGACAAGTTTTTCTTTTACAAATTACAGAATTTTACTTAATTACGAATTCTTATTTTAATGGATGCAAATTAAATCATAGAATGAGAATGACAAATTTTTAAACTAATTTATTAAAAGATATTTTATCTTTATTTTGAATTTTCAAATATTTTTATTTTTATATATTTAAGTTTAATTCAATCTTTTGGTCATTTATTAACGTCACTCCCCCTTGACATTTAGAAAAATAAATTATATAATGTAAATGCATATATAATTAGTACATTAGTACACCAAACAACTAATAAACCCATAGCAATTAATAGTGTATCATATTAACTCATACAATCAAATCATAAAGCGTACGTCAAAATGGGTATGTTTTGTTTAGTCACTTGATTATTGGATTAATTGGCTCAGATTTTCTGGATCATATCAAACCAAAACCAGACTCATCATGACTGTTTCACAATTGTTTCTAAAGAGAGAAATGTTTGAATATGAAATAAAGCTAAGAGAACCTGGCGGCGGCTTAACGTAGTGGACTGAGAGTTACATTGATGTGGATGTAACAAGTTACAGAAAAGCTTTTTGGGAAAGGAAAGGAACCGCTTGTGAACACTACACATAGTGGTCACAAAAATTTGTCTCTTAATAGACCTTCACATATAGTATAATAATTAAATATAAAGTCAACACGTTTCATTTTGTATTATACTCTTCATGGCCAAAAAATTACACTGCACTACTCTCCGGAAAAAAAAAATATATTGAGACCTACCATACTGTAACAATATTGTTTGTAATATAACAAAATATGTTGTAACACTTACATGCCAGTTTAAAAAATATCGTATAGTTTTTGCAATTAAAATTAAAGGTATCACTATCTCAGCTTTTACTTTTGTTTTGTTTGGTCGTCGTCGTTGTCATCATTCCCACTTTTGATACCACTCTTTTCGATTTCTATTGGCTCAAATAGCGGAAAACATGAAAATCTATGCATGTGGCTAATGTTGTCATTATTCTATCTTTCAAGAAAGACAGTGTACGGTAGTTAGAAATGAGGAGAAAACAAATAGACAAAGACCAGCAATATAATGCATCTTAACTTAAAATTTTAATATTTAAATTTATAAATATTTCTCTTTTCTTATATATTAATTATTAAAATTTATATTTAAATAATCTAACAATAATATCCTACACTAACAAAATAAACTATTGTTCTCTTGAGAATGAAAAGTTAGCTGAAATCTCTTATTCTTGACCAGGTTTTTGCTGCATATATGTACATAAAAGCTTAAAAAAACAAAAAACAAAACAAACACCAATCACTTGTTTAACAAATGAAGGACCTCATCACTTATGCTAACCTGATCGATCAGTCTTGAATTTTAATCCACGTAGAAATTAAAAAGAATTAATTAATGATATATACCTTTTAAACAAAATCATGAGTTGAAAATTCTTGTAAGTAAAAAAATAATTTTATAAGAGTTATTCTTGTTTAAACTCAAAAAAACTCAAATACGATGTAATAATATGATTGTCATACCTACATACATACATACATCCATATATATATATATATAGCACATAAGACTAATTAGCAAAATAAGAAATTAGAGAAGAGAAGCAATATAATAATGGGGTTAAATATAGTATGCAGGTGGTAATGGAACAAAGATTAAAGGGGAATAATCATCAATGATCAAGTAATCAAAACAGGAAAATTGACATTAGGAGGGAAGAATCTAAAACATTGTCATGAAACGTTAGGAAAAGGGAGATTCTCTCTCACTAGAGTTGTCTCTTTATTCCTCGCTACAGTTGGAATTAATAGAACGAAACGACAAACAATGCTGGGATCAGTCACACTCACATCTCTGTGCTGTCCCTCCAATTGAATAAATGGTTTTTTTTATAAGTTCCAAAAAGCCAGAATCTGGTTTCTCTGTCCCTTCTCTTCGCATTTCAAGATGTTGATGATAAGAATTCCACACCACCCTCATCAGCTCCTGCCTTTTTCCAATGTTTCTGTTTCATTGATTTTTCACAACATGCAAACGAATTTATTGTCTAATTGCCCTCACCACAGGTGGATTCATGCATCTATATCGCATGCTACTTTAATTTAT